CCTAGGACTAAAACCAAGGACTATAAACTTCATTACAGAAAAGCGAGGAACAACACTAGAAGTCCTAATCCACAACATAAACAGTCTTCCCAGTATCCTGGAAAACCTACAACCAGGAGAAGATAACATAGATGAGTGTGATCTTCTAAGACTCAAATCCCTATGCACATCCAAAAACTTCTCCAACAGGGTTTTCCCTTCTTGTGCTATCCCTCCACCCATGCTTAATTTTTCTTACCTAAGAATTAAGGATTTATTATGAAGGTAGCTATACACACAGAGGTATATTTATATTGTTGTTATTGTTGTTGTGTACTGCTGTGGCAGAACTGACCCATAGCTGACCCTCCATTGAGTTTTCAGAGGCAGTTAATCACACGGAAGGAGTTGCCCATCCTTTCCTCGCATAGATATTGTTAAACCTATAATAATAGCTATATAAAAGCACTGATGTGTGATAGTATTTAGTACACATCACCAATTACATAAAATCTCATTAATTCTAAATCAATTTTATGTATATATATGATTTTTTATGTGAATAAATTATACCAGTATTTTGAAACATCTGTTTCTAAATATAATACCATTTGTTTCATGTCTAGTATGCTACAGTTAAGACATTATTACATTATTATTTCTTAGTAATACATTTTAAAAAGTCTTACTTAATATATTTAAGTTTATTATTTACTGAGGAGGACACAGAGTTGAAGTAAATCTAAAACATAGCAAGCGTCATAAAAAAGAAAATCAACCATAATCACTAACGAGCAGATATATCCTGACCAAAACAACAACACAAAAGTGATTATTTAAAAATTTGTTACTTACTAGTATAAGTCAGTTGAAAACCTTGGTCCGTGTCAGATCCATTGGTATTGAATTCTAGCCACAAGTGGTTAGAAGTGCTATTCAAGATCAGTCCCAAAAGTTCATTTTTTGTGAAGGCTCCCAGGGGACGAGAAGAACTGTCTTTTCCATCATATACCTAATAGAAAATTGATAGCATCAGCCTCTCTATTAAGTTTGGGGTTTTTTTAAATTACCAGATTTAATACAAAACTCAAATATTGAGGATATAATTTTATGAAGAACTTCAAAATATACGGAGCTCTGATGATGTACTTCAAAGCCCATTTCTCTGCTAACCTAAAAGACCAACAGTTAAAATTCACAAACTGCTCCATGGATGAGAGACAGGATGTCTCCTCCTAAAAGATTTAGAGTCTTGGACATTGACAAGGATAAGATTCAACTCAACAATATGACAGCTGCTTTACATTTAACTTAACAAAATACAGTTGAAGTACCAGTATTTATCTACTTTACCATTAGCACTTCTTGCAGAGCGTCAAGGACTGCAGCCTACAATATGGATTGAGGCTCAACGTCAAGAAGACAAACATTCTCACCACTGGACCAA